AATAGCTGTGTGATTTTATGGATTTTCAGGAATGTATTCCAGATGCTGTACAGGCACTATCTTTTCATTCCAGGGATGTTGCGCTCTCTTTAAAACTTGTGGCTTCCTACTGATTAATTCAGCAGATGAGACAGTTGGCAGACCTTTCACAACATTTGAATCTTTAGCCAAACAGCATTTCTTTTTCCCTGGAGACATCACAACATCATTTCTACAGCCTGGGAAGTAGTATCCCCCCAATTTTACTTTTTATAACCTTTGGCAGCCTAATCTCATCATATACCCAGCTCATACTGTATTCAGCTAGAGCTGCCTTAGCAGAACTTTTTCATGTACACTGACATTTCTTTGGGCATTTCTAGACACAAACTTCCCGTTGATTTATGGCTTTACACCTTTCTAAAATACCCGATAAGGGGTGTTGTGGATTTTGTGTAATAGAAGGCTGCGAGAATGGCATGAATAAACTACACTGGTGCATTGCACAATTCGGTTTAACTGAACACATCTTAATTTGAACATTGCCAGGTTTGTGCTGGTACAACAATGGGGAGGGGAGTACTGTGTTTTGTAATAGCTCATTGATGTTAAAACTTACTTGAGAGTGTGGTCAGTTGTCATCTGCCTGGTAGGATTCAGGTTGAAACACTTCCATTTTCATTTCAGGCAACAAAGATGCTTCCTGTTTTACTTTAGCATTAGAAATTGTTCCTCTTATTACTTTATGAATATTTCCCAACTACCAATGCAAAGCTTAACAAGCTCCCCGTAAAGCACTTTCCCCATAATTCGTTGTTTTTGCTGAAAATTCCACTCTTGCTTCTTCTCTTACTTGTATTTGACTGTTAATTAGTCCTGCTGCTGCAGGCAGCCTTCTGCTCATTGTTTAAACATTTCTTGATTATTTAATTCCACCAACAATGGAGTTTGGAGGAAAAAAAAAAAAAGGGGGTTGTAGGTATAATGCTTGGTTTCACATATCTGGTACTAGAGCAACTCTTAACAAATTGCGTGTTTCATGCTGACCAGTCTGTAGTTTGCCAGCTTTGCTCCCTGCAGAACAGCCTGCTTTTGATTTCAGATGCCTGTCGTGCCTTCCTGTGCGGCTGGGATACCTTGGTGAGCGGTAATGGTGGCTCTCTGAAAGCTGAGAGTCATTCCCTTGAGAGTTCACAGCTTATAAAAGTCCAGTGGGCAGCTCTGCTTTCGGAAGGGCAGGTGAGCAGCGATGATCTGGCTTCTCTCGTCTCTGTCTAGCAACGAGCACGTTAGCAATTACTTTTGATGTCACAGATTGTCTTCCACTGAACTTAGCCCATCATCTCTGCTTTCACTTTTTTCTTTTTTTTTTTTTTTTTTTAAAGTGCTTTTCTCAGATTTGAACCTCAGGGAAAGGTCCTTAACTTTTCTCCTATGGTGATTCCACCTGAGTAGCTGCGTGAATCATGAAAAAGTGGTCCAGCTTCCTGCCCTGGCTGCCATGGTACCCAGCAGTGTTGCTATCCCTGCAGTGCTGATGTAGCAAATGCTTACAGGGGGCTTTTCTTTTTTTTGGGGGGGGGGGGGCCTTTTTTTTTTTTGTCATGTTACTGACCAAATTTTCTTGAAGCTCAAAAAATAGAAAGTAGAGGAACTGTGCAACAACATGTTACATAAAATTGTGAGCACAGTGTTCCAGTTTGGGCAGGTTCCTAAGAACATAAATAGAAGTGCACATAAACTAGGCAGAATTTTCTCCCTGTCCTAGTTACATTCTCAGATTTGCTTTGTAAAAAGCAGAATACATTGAACATATTTCATTAAGTCTGCTAGTACAATTAGAGTTGCAATGGCTGTATCTATGCAAAGGAGTATAATCTCACTACAGATCTTGTATGAGTTCCCTACTGTATGCAGTACTTTTTTTCATGCCCGTGTTGTTTCTCACTTGTTTTTCATTTCCCCCCCATTACATAGGAAGTAGCTCAAATAATTCCTTTCTTTAAAAAAGAATTGCTCTCATTAGATTTCTCTTCAGATGTATATCTTGCAAGTAGTTTTTAGAAAAGAGCGTATTTCTAGAAAATGTTTCCCGAGTCAATTAAATTGAAAGTTCAAGGTAAGGTTCATGTAATTGAAAAATATAAAGGGTGTCTAAAAGGGAAGATGTATTTATTCATGCCACCTACTAGATTCTATGAGGTATTATTCTCATTACTATTCATGTTTTTGAAGGATAAAGGCTTTTCTAATACAGTTGCCGTGCTAACTAGATTTCTGAAGAATAATTTTTGTAGGCTTTTGTTCATATGAGGAGGGCTCATTAAACAATATTAAAAGGAGGTGCCAATATACTACTGGAATGCATATTTTGAGAAGTGGTTTCTTGAAAATGAAGCAAAAATTTTCATAATTTCCTTATAATGGTTTTTCATTTATGGTGGGTTTCATGGACTGTATGGTGTATTATGGATGTAATGAGAATTGAGTATGATTGAAAATTTAGTTCTGACATTTCCACTTAATTGCATTTTTAAGCAAAAACATCTCAGTGTACAAAATTCTTTATTCTGCAGAGACCTGTACAACTTTAAAAAAGTTAAATGAAGGCAATACTTACTATGAAGAATATTCAGTTCAACTTTTTTCCCCCTAGCTCCAGTTATAGTCCCAGAAGATATGGCAAAATGTTAAATCTGTGAAATAACATTAAAATGCCATTTAATGTGTCAAGGGAAACTTTGTTTATTTTTTTTCTCAGATAAAAAGACTTGAATAAAAGCTTTTTCTTCTGTAGCGCTCACAGGTTTTCAAGTAGATGGAGATGGCTGTTGCTAGCAGCAAATTATAGCAGATGCGGAGCTGCATAGGGATGTGTGCTTTGTTTGCTGGAGACTGGTCTTATTGTCTTGCCTCGAGGCATTAGGTTGAGTCTGTTAGACTATATAAGTAGTGATTTTTGTCCTTTGAGGTAGTGGAATGTCACATGGTGCTATGTGACATTTTTAGGCAATGCATGAAGTAGGATTTTTGTATTTGTTTTTTGGTTTTTTTTTTTGTTTGTGTGTTTTTTTTTTTTTACTTGGATATGTAGAAGTAGGTGACTTCTGTTGAAGTTTTGCAAAACCCTTAAATATTTACCACTGAAAGAAAAGAAGGATTGCACATTTCAGAGATGTGTTGCTAGGTTCCCTGCCTAAGAAATATACTAAATTAGCATTTCATCATAATTCTTTATCCACAGAAATATTATCAAGGAAGAGAAGGAAGGATTTGCATTTATATTATACACCTTAGCCTGCAAGTAGAGGACCAGTGAGGCTCTGTATGATGAATGTCTGAAGATTTCCTGAAAGTCCCACTAAAACAAAATTGAATATTTTAGAGAGATTTGCTGTGTTTATATTAGATATGAGGTAACAGGCGTAATACATTTTCCTGTTATTTCACACTTGTCTGTGTATAGGACATTTAATTTTTTCCTTTGAAATGCCTCGTTTTAGTGCAGCAGCAAACACAAGGTATTTGGCAAGATGGCCTGTGATCTCCTTTAATACTACAATTTGTGTGTTGTGAGATTTCATTTGAGCTATAATTTGTAAATAAATTTGTCCGTATTATGAGTATGAAGTGAAAATTGTGAGTAGTGGAACTGCATGTGGTACCAGTCTGGTTTTTTTTTTCTTTGTTAAATTTGCATTTGCTGGAGATCTCCAGATACTCAGTGTAGCATCCCTGTGCCTGTTGAACATCACTTTTTCTAGTGCATTCAGCTCGGAGGCAGCTCAAGCAAGCTGAAGAGTAGAAAATTGTCTAAGCAATTGTGTATTTTGGATAAGGTAATTTTTCTGAAAAATGTTATGACATGTCTTAGCCTGTTCGAACATAACAGCAAACACTTCATGAATTCATACATTGCTGGAGAAAATACGGATTTACAAGGTTCCAGTTTGACAGAAGTCTGCCAGGAGGTTGTGATAACAGCATGCAACTGTGAAAGATAGATCTTAGGGCAACCCATAATATGTCAGACCTAGCAAATCTGCTAAAATTATTCAGTGCTCCTCTTCTTTACTGTTTTGCACATTACAATGCAGTAGTCGTGTTGGGTTAATGTGTTAATGGATGATCTTCAAAGTTTAATGAACATAAGCAGGTTTCACGTCTCAGTGTTTTGTATGCAGCCGATAGTTTTGTTCAGAGCTTCCTGTAGTTTCAAGATTCAGTGATGACTTGATATTTAGTGTTGAATTCAAAGCGAGTCGAAGTATTACTAATGAAATGAACAGTGTTAACCATTTAATCTTGGTGTTTTGTTTTCCTGCGTGTGGTGCTAAGGTAGCATCAGAGCTAAGGAATTATGTAAGTTAGTATCCAGACAAATGTTTCCCTGCCAAAGGCAAGCAGTTAAAGCTTGAAAATGCTCAATATGATTTTAAGTAAATGTTTACTTAAACATTTTTAAGTAAATTTAAAAGTAAGTTTTTTACTTTTTTTTTTACTTTAAAGTAAATAAACATTTTTGAGTAAATATTGGAAGACTGCTGTAACTGGTCATTTCTGACTGGTGCTACATATTGGTTATGTTCTGAGCTAGCAGCTCCTATCTGCATAGACTGTCCCTTGCATTCTCTGTAACTTCTCTTGAATCGTGCTTAATATCTCTGTCCCATCTTTCTTGACCAGATTCTCTGCTGTCATTCTGGCAAATAAAGGCTAACTGAACTTGATTAGAGCTTTCAAGGTTGGACTTTTGTTGAAGATACACAGTTGTAATGGTCTCTGTAGATGCTCCCCAAACTGAGCCACGTGTGCTGTAGCCTGATAGCTTCACATGGGGTTCTCTTGGTGTGTGGGTTTGTTTTGGTTTCTGAGGTTCAAACGTGTACAAGCTGCTTCTGAGTTGGGAATGTTTTCATTGTGGTTTCTTTCCTGTGTCACATGCACAGTATGACTACTTTGAAGTTGAAAATAATCAATTTTGAAAATTTTAACACACGGTCTTGTCTGTCCTTCTTTAGGAAAGCCCAAGAAGGGAAGAAGAAAGTGGTTCTAGCAGGCTGTGTGCCGCAAGCCCAACCTCGTCAGGACTACCTGAAAGGCTTGAGTATTATAGGGGTATGTATCTTTATCAATTAGAAACCAAAGGTTTTCAAAAATGTTTTCAGTAGGTCAATATCAATATATAGACTTGGCTGCCTTTTTCTTCGAAAAAGCAACAGAGAAGCTTGGTGCTTCTGTTAGTGCCTCTTTTAGTCTTCTTGCATTATACAGTGCTTGAGCCTTCTTTCAGCCAGGGAGATTTGGTTTGATTGTGGCATGAGGGGAGAAGGAAGGGGATACTGTTGGTGGAACTGAGCTCCAGTGCCCTTTGTAGCCTGAAAATATCCAGGCTTCGTCCATGTTGATGAAGATACCCATTACCATATTCTTTAAAATACCACAGTTTATTTGCTTGAAGACAAAGAAATACACCCTTTGTTAAAATCAGTGGAAGAAGTGTAAAAGACTAGAGCATATGAGTTACACGGACACAGCTGAGGGTTGGGTAGTTGTTTTTTTACTTCACACTACTAAGCAGAATGGCAAATAGCAATGATTATTTTGTTCAAATTTGAGGCAGTCTGAAGAGTTAAATCCACTGGTGACTGAGTTGTTAAACAGTTATCAAGCTTTGCCTTGAAAAGGTAACCAGAGAGCTTTTGACTTCATTCAGTTAGTAAAGTGCCTTCAGTATCCTTTGGGATGAAGTACTGCTGTGTAATTGAATCACCTTTGTAAAACAAGCATGAAAATCCGGGAGTCAAGTCACAAGCTAACAAAGACTCTTCGTTGTTCAAGCCTTTAGATTAAAACTGGATGAATTTGTACAAGGCATGTTTGAGTTGAAGCTCTGTCATTGGATTCAGTGGGTGAGAATTCAAGTGAAGCTGTCCTGTATTATGTTAAGTCAGAGCAGATGACTGTGCAGCATCATTTCTGCGTTACATGTAAAGAGGTTAATGTGTTTCCACTTCAGCACCATGAATTCAGGTTGAAACTAAGATTTCATAGGAACAACAACAGCAAAATGTTCCAAAGCTTTCACTTTTATTAGAAGATTATACAAGATGCATTTGTTCAGAGTAATTTAGAAGTAAAATAATAGTTTGTTTGGAATTAGGAATATTGCTTCATTAACTGATTTATTGGAATTCTTTATAAAGATGGGCTTTGTGCTATCTGAATTTTTAATTAATTACTGCTGTCGCTCAAAATGTTTTCGCTCCCAATTTTTTTCCCAGCTGCCATTCTCAGCTATGTTGATGCCTATAAATTAACTCAGTGCCCAGAAATTATATTCAGGGGCTGTAAAATGCCACACTATTCTGTGTAGATGCTATTGCATTGATAGTTACAGTTCAAAGGAAAAAACAAACTTTCCATTCCACTCTGCAGTCTTACTTCACACAGATATATGCAAGAGAACTGTGGTACTGTGTCATCTCTTAAGACTCCAACTAATGAAGTGCAACTTAGTCTGTGCAGCAGGATAGGAAAAACAAAAAATAAATGGTGAATGGATTTCCTCTTGGCTCAGAGGCAACATAGTTATGTGATCTGTATTTGGTTGTTACACTGAATATAAGGATATCTACACATATGAAGACAGAGGACAAAAAAAAAAAAAAAGAGAGAGAGTCACTCTCCTTTGACTAAGACTATAACTTGATGTTTCAGTTTTGGTGAATTTAACTTAGGAAACGTGAGGGACCTGAAGTCTGATTTGTATTTTTTTTTTTAATTGCTATTTTTTTCTTTCCTTTTTTTTTTAAACTTACCTTTTTGGGTAACATGTAATTTCTGAAAATTAGCCTCTTCATCTTCGTTTTGGTACCTAGAAACAATGTTTAGTGAAAAATGTTTGTAGTTTTGTATCTATTACAGAAAGATTTCTGCTAGCAATTGAATTAGGCTGTTAACGTGGTGTTCCCAAGGACTTTTGAATTGGACCTGAAAATACTAAAATGTGATCTTCATGCACTGTCTTCCAACTGTCATTGCTGTGGTCAAATTTACTGTACTTGAAGTAATAGATGCTTCAGCTGAGAAAAGCCTTAAACTTTAGGCATAACTATTAACAAAAGCAAAGCTAAGAGCAGATTTTGTCTATGTTTTCTCCTTGTATATTTAAGATTTTCTTCTCATTTTACAAAGAGCGTGAGTGAGGGGGTGACTGTATTTAAAGGATAAGAGTTGTTATCTTACTATTGCAAAATATTTTTGAAAGGCAGTTTTGACAGAATTGAGAAATAGAAAATGTTCTGCTGGCAGTAGGATATTGATTCTGTACAGTTTTGGAAATCTTGCTTTACCACCAGGTTGGTCTCATTTTCAACTTGGCTGAGAGATACAGTTGATTTATTGTTGCTTATGTAAGCTCTGCTATTTTTTTTTAAAGAACAGTGTTGTCTGAGAATGTGGTTATTTACCAGCAATTATAACTCCCTTGGGGTGGCTTTCTGCAGGCAGAGTGTGTCAGAGGGCTCTTCTGCTCATCTTTTTATGACGGAGGAGGAAGTTGCGATGTAACTACCAGAGAAATTCTAGTAACTCAGGGCTTGTTTTGAACTGCACTTGAGAAGTACAGGACTGAACTTCCACTGTTCGTTCTTTATTACTTGATTGGGGCAGAAGGGAAGGAGACACAACTTCATATCCCTGTTACATTTGTGATGTTACTGTGCTTTTGTGTTTCTTTAAAGTCATTGCCACTTTTTAAAAATAATGTGGGTTGGGGCATTGCTATAGGCTGTATATAAGGCAAACTAACATAACATGGCAAGGTAAAGGACCTGTTTTCTGGAAGGGGGAAGCTCTGGGTAGTAGTAAACTTACCAAGTGTGAAAAGTACACGAAACACATAATGATGCATTACACAGGTTCACAGCCATTTACGCTCAGGTGGTTTCCAAAGCTTACTCCTTTATGTTTAGAGCAGTGTACCCACTTCAAACTCAAGTGCACATATGGTATTGCAAAGCGAAATCAACTCTCGCAGTTAGAGTTGTCCCTCACTTTTCATTGTAAGTTGCTAAAAAGAAGGATATCTGCCTTTGTCTATGCTGATTGTTTTGAGGGGACTATAAGGGAAGGGAAGGGAGGGACAAGGGGGAATGAAAGATTTAGCAGACAGGTTATGTTCTGGGACTCAGGAATGGCTGTAGGTTGGTGTAGTGTTTCCTCGCTTCCCGAGTTGCATTCAAGGGCATACCGACCTCTTGTCCCCAGTGATAAGTTGGACCGTTGGAATGGGATGAGGTGTTTTGTTTCTTTGACACTTGTCTGGAGTTTTAAGGTATTTGGTGTCCAAATCATGCTACGTGTTGGAACCTCTGACCAGTTGGCTGAGGGTTCGTAGGTTTTAAGATGCTTTACAAGCCCCATGTATCTGTACTTTGAAATCACCAGACTTACTGGACGTACTGAAAGCATGGGGCCTAATGCACATATGTATCCAGTTAAAGGCGTACAACAGCTCTGCAGATGAATGAATCTCTTCTCTTCCTGAATGAGAATGTCAACCCCAACTCTTCTTCCTTCCCCATTTTTCCCAATGTAATATCTAGCGTCAAAAGTCCGTTGCCTTCTGCTGTACACCCATTCCCCAAGTGAAGAATTTCAGCTCATTCTTTCGTCTGCAGAAAATATATCCAGTGTTGCCAAGGTTGTAATCCTCCCTCTGCTGCTACGCTCCGACTCAGAAGGTGGAGGTCCTGTGCATGGCAGAGTTACTGCAGGCTCTTCGGCCAAGTTGAGTCTGAAGCTACTGCTTCCAGGAGAAACATATAGCTGTCAGAACCTCTCTGCAGGGGCTCCCTGCATTCCCCTGACCACCAGATAACCCTCTTCTGTGGCTGTTCTACTCTATAAGGCAAGCTTTAGGTAATTTTTTTTAATATCCAGTTTGAAACCATGGAGTGTGATTAGTGGAAGTGCTGAACATTCCCAGTAGCAGCACATAACGCTAGGACCGCTACTGCAAAGTAGATGGTTCAGTACAAAAAATGTTAAGTACATTGTGAAAAATAGACACTTCTCAAGTGGTACATCTATAATGGGTATACACTTCTAAATTAAATATGCCTTAGGTCTCCATTTGTAAAACTCTTTAGTGTGCAGAGCTTTAACAGTACCATTGTGAAAGAAAATCAGTGTAACCTTACTAAGATGCTAAATGCCTGTACATCCCTACTGCTTTGGTGTCCTAAATGAGGATGATATGTTGTATGATATTTCTGATGTTCAGTTCATACAAGTTTCACTGATGTTTGCAAAACAGAGATAATGATACTTCCCTACCTTGCAGTGTTTGTAAGGTCAGACTGCATTAAGGATGGTAAGCCTCTCTGTTTGCTGCCCTTAAACTGGAGCCTTGCATAAATGCAAATATCCACTGTGTACCTCAGGAAAGACAAATTTGATGGAATTTTATTTTGAATGATTTGAATTAGCAGAACTTCTTGGAAAGTGTGCTGAAAGCTTGGGAAGAGGTGCACGCTGGTTTTGTGTAACTTACGGCCAATAATGATTTAATGCAAAATTCAAACTCAGTTAGTACCTCTCAGCTGGTCGGCTTTGGCTTTTGAATTGCCATGCTGATATTCAGATATGACACTTAACCTGGGAAGTCAGGAAAGAATTGCAGTTAAGCACCTGCTTTTAAACTGAAAATTGGACATGCAAATAGAAACTATACATTTCCATGGTAGTTACTGTCCTATGAATCAAAAGGTAGAGGAATTAATTTAGATATGAATTATACTTCAGCTGTGTCAGTGTTTAGCAATGAAAATCAGTTGTTTACATGCTTCTCTGGGGTAGTCGCCTTCCCTTGAAGGTTTGTGTAGAGCCTGCTCTCCGTATACCTTCCTAAACTAGATTGTTGCCCATTACTACGGTCAGTGTTGTCAGCAAAGGTTTTAAACACAGATGTTATCCCTCTGAAGCCAAAGTGGCTAGTCATGTTGCCTTTTGAAGTTATGTATTAAGGCCTGGATTTATACTGCCTAAGTGCTGTAATTTGAGAGTCTGTTTTGCTCAGCTCCCTTTATGGTCAATGAAGATAATTATCTCTA